AGCTCCAGCAGTGAGCGGTGGAGCCAGCCTATGAATACCCTGCTCCCTCTGACGTTTGCGTTTTACACTCTCTGGGGGTTTCTCATGAAACTGAACTCCAATTGCCCAGGTGGTACCTGATTCCATGATACCAGATGAACTTTTACTCACCCCCAGCTCATTACTAAGCTTTCATAATGTCACACAAGGACTTTAAAAACTGTTCCAGTCACACTCTGCTTAACAAGGAGGACACAATCTGAAAACGCATTAGGCTATGCCATTATTATGAGCATCTACATATACTTACACAAGCTCAGACAGATGCCGGGTCATCAGGGTGTGCCACCTCACTGCACCACTGTGGCAGCGCTTTGCCAAGACTGGTCTTCTGCAGTGCCAGGCTGTGTTCCTATCATCATTATCCCTTAATCTTAAAAGCATAAAAGAGAAGGTTGAAGATGTTGCCAGATGGTACAGCACTTACCTAGCAAGGCCCTGGGTTTAGTCCTCGGCATCAGAGGGTTAAAAAAAAAAAAAAAAGGAAATTTTAAAATTTACTTTTAATCATGTGTATGCGTGCGTGCACGTGTACGTGCATGTGTGTATGTTTGTCTGTGTGGGGATATGTGCACCAATTAGTGCAGTTGCCCAGGGATGCCAGACGAAAGCATCAGATTCCTGTACTTACAGGACTATGAGTAGTCCTTTATGGGTACTAGAATCCAAACTCAGGTCCTGTACAAGAGCAAGCAAGTACTCAACCACTGAGCCATCTCTCCAGCCCCAAGAAAACATCTTTCTGTTGACCTTCCTTAGAACATTGCCATTTTTCTCATTTTGCCACAAGCTCCTGACTGTACCTGGTTATCACATACCCAAAATGAGCATGTTAATAATGAAAATAAGTCTTTAAATGTTGCTAGATGGGTCCTCGAATATTATTTTAAATCTACCTGATTTCCCTTATTAGTATTAGTTTGTCATAAGTACAAATACTTAAGGATAGCCTATAGAAAAGGATTCAGAAAGTAGTTGTAAAAAAATCCCTGGGTGGCACAGAATGGGAGAAAATCTTCACCAGCGATACATCTGATAGAGGTTTAATTACCAGAATATATAACGAACTTAAAAAACAGAGACCCAAAACAAGAAGCAACCCAATTGAAAGATGGGCTAAGGAGCTGAACAGAACATTTGCAAAAGAAGAAGTAAAGATGGCTATGAAACATCTTAAAAGATGTTCA